TTTTTTTTTTTTTTTTTTTTTTTTTTTTTTTTTTATTATTATTTTTTATTTTAGACTCACTTTATGAACTTTCTTCTTCAACTTTATCAACTTTTAGCTTATTTTTTTATTATTTGTTTGACTTCTTTGACTTGTTAACTTTTTATTTTAGCTTCATTACCTCATTAGCTTGAAATTTAGCTTTCTACAATTTAGGCAAAATGCAGAATTGGCCAGCATCAACATTGGTTGTGCTGTATTTTTGGGCCGATATTTGTGTGTCCGTTTTATCGCTTGGTTTCTACGGGCCATCGTTCCAGTTCAATGTGCAGCTCATCTGGCGGTACCTGTTGTTCCTGGAGCCGTATCATTTTGTCAGTTCACCGGTTGATTTCTTAATTCTGACGGCACTTCGCGCTCTCGTGCTGCTGCTGTGCGTGGTGCTCAGGCTGCGCTGCGAGCAGTCGTTGCTCGGCAAGTGCTTCATCCCGCTGCTCGGTGTGTTCATCGTGCACTGGACATTCTCGCTGGTCAAGCTGCTGGCATTTTCCGAGAACGTTGTGCATCTCGAATATCTCGGTTTCTGGCTAAGCACCGTGTGGAATGTGCTCGCTGCATTATTGCTAATTCTACTCTGGCACTTTGTGCTCTGTAAAAATGCATCATGGAGCTATCAGACGCTGATTTCCGGTGAAGTGCGCGATGCGACGGCACCCGGTCCGGTGGATGAGAAGTCGGTCCGTCGTGGCACATTCGGACATGCGCTCCGCTTGCTCAAGTATTGTAAATATCAGTGGCAGTGGTTCAGTGCAGGCTTCTTCTTTCTCATTATTTATTCGTCATGTACGTTTTTCAGCTTTTTTTTGCGACCACTTATAAGGCTTAGGTGATTAAGTGAAAGACCCCACGGGCCGTTTGGTGAAAGGAAATAGGAACCGGTAAGGGCTGCACCGGTACTGGATGACTCTGAATAGGCGCTCCATAAGACTCTGAATAGGCCGTTCAGAGTAATCCAGTAACCCTATGATTGTATTTAGTACCAGGTAGTATTTCAAAGTCATGTGATTATGCAAAATTGAAATTTTGTTCCGTTTGCAGCGCGGGTATTCATACCATACTATACGGGTCAGGTGATCTCAAACATTGTGCAGACTCGTGGCTTCGCAGTTTTAGTGCGCTCAGTAATTTACATGTTTGCTTTGACGCTTGTAAGGTTCGTTTTTTCTTTGTTTATATTCATTTTTGAACTGTTTGCTCTATGAATTAGATTCTGTGTGAAATCGTGGCAGTGCGAAAGAGAGAAAAGAGAGAGCGATTGTCGAAACTCTTGCAAAAAGCCAGCAGTACACATCTGTCAGTAGCATTTATTCGTCTATGTAGATAGGAAAAAGTGTATTTTTCACCTCGAAACTTCAGACATTTTTTAGTCGGCGCGCGGATCGATTTCATTCAGTGCAGCGGCCTTCAGATGTTACAAAAATCTTTAGGCTGTATGTTGAGGAAAGTTAAAACGAAGCAGAAGACCGGTGTTGATCTCACTGAATTACTCTGTTCTGGTTGGGAAGTATATTTGGGGTTGATTTTAGCACAATATTCGGTGGGCTTCGTGGTGGTAGCTTTGATTACGCGACAGCACTGGTCAACCGGAAAATGCGCTGTGATTTGTTCGGTTCTCTAGTGGAACAAGAAATCGGCTTCTTTGATTTAACCAAAACAGGTAACGATGCTTCTCGTAGCACTGTGTTTAAGTGAAACACGAAGAAAGTGGTCGTTTATGCGAATACCTATTTGCTTATGTGCCAATTCGCGTGCTTTGAATCTCGAACAATCTTCATAATTATTTTGTGTTGCATGGAAGTTTCCTCTTTATCTTTTAACGGAAATGGTACGCTGAAGTGTTGTCAGTGCTCAG